ATCTTTAAAAAGGGCTCACTCAGCCAGTACTATTCTGCCTTTCGCCCACTCACTTTCTCCTATCTGAATTTGAACATAATAGTTGAGCATCAGCTGCTATCTTGTTTTCAGAAGGTGATAATCACAAAGGACTCTCAACAGCAGATAGGATTCTAAAAGATTACGTATGGGGCTGCCAATTACAGCTCTGGAGAGTCTGTGTCCAGACCTCTTACTGAGGCAGAGAAAAATGGAACCCTTCCTATTTAAGATGAAATTATTTGGATTATCTGTTGTGCGCAAAGTCAGTCCCTAACTGATACAATCCCAGAAACCAATGCAACTTTACCTTTGCGGAAAAGGAATGGGCCGACAGCACCGTGTGTGTTCTGAGATTTCGCTCGCATTGCTTGGAAAGTGCTCTGGACTGAGATAGTTTGAATTTGCTCCCCAGTTAGAAAGAATCCCAAGAACTCCGCAATCTGTTTTATTCCAGCAGCCAGATGCTGTAAAAAAAATTTCTTAAAGATAAATTTCTATGGGAATTGTTCTCTGCACTAAGGCAGACTTTTTAGCCATTGGAGTTATTAAGCCTAACTCCCTAGCTCATCTGTTTATCCCTCCCTTTAAACTTAGAGTACTTTTATCCTCTTAGATAAGTATTGAGATGTCTCTATAAGATATTCTGTATTGGTTATACTTTGTAGTTCCACTTATGACTCTTGTTGAACTTACCAGATAATAGTTTTTTAGTATGTAAATAACAACAGTAGCATTAATTTACAGCTTATAATTCTAAATTATAATTAATCTAGAATAATATTAATTGCATTAAAAAAGCACCAGTCTAGACCAGCTGAGGAAATTAATGTATTTCTATGTGCTCCTTTGAATTATCTTTTTTTCTGAATTCTATTTATAGCTAATGTTTACTTCCATTAAGAAGGTCTAATTTTTAGAATCATACAAACTTGAAGGAATTTTTTTTTTTTAGACAGGGTCTTGCTCTGCTGCCCAGGCTAGAGTGGTACAAGGGCACAATCATGGCTCACTGTGGCCTCGACTACCTGGGCTCCAGCCATCCTCCGACCTCAGCCTTCTGAGTAGCTGGGACAACAGGTGTGTGCCATCACATCTGGCTAATTTTTGTATTTTTGTAGAGATAGGGTTTCACCATGTTGCCCAGGTGGCTCTCATAGTCTTTAATAGACCAGGGCACAATATGAATCTCCAAGACAGCAGGCTATAGAATACAGCAGTTCCTAAATCTATTTAAATAAACGACCTCCTCCCAGACCTCAAGAAATAATTATGAACAGCTGGGACAACACTGGCATTCTTTGGTGCACGAGTTTCAGAAATATTATTCTAAACTAGAATTAATAGGTTATTTGATATCATATAAATGCATTCTATAAACACAAAAAATAGGTTAAACCACATTTTTTTTTTTTTTTTGAGATGAAGTTTTGCTCTTGTTGCTCAGACTGGAGTGCAGTGGTGTGATCTTGGCTTACTGCAACTTCTGCCTCCCAGGTTCAAACAATTCTCCTGCCTTAGCCTCCCGAGTAGCTGGGATTACAGGTGCACACCACCATGCCCAGCTAATTTTTGTATTTTTAGTAGAAACAGGTTTTACCATGTTGGCCAGGATGGTCTCCAACTCCTGATCTCAGGTGATCCGCCCGTCTTGGCCTCCCAAAGTGCTGGGATTACAGGTGTAAGCCACCACACTGGCCTAAACCACATTTTTTTTTTTTTCGAGATGGATTCTTGTTCTGTTGCCCAGGCTGGAGAGTGCAATGGCACCATCTCTGCTCACTGCAACCTCCACCTCCTGGGTTCAAGTGATTCTCTTGCCTCAGCCTCCTGGGCAACTAGAATTACAGGTACCTGCCACCATGCCTGGCCATTTTTTGTGTTTTTAGTAGAGATGGGGTTTCACCATGTTGACCAGGCTGGTCTCAAACTCCTGACCTCATGATTCACAGCCGCCTCAGCCTCCCAAAGTGCTAGGATTACAGGCATGAGCCACCATGCCAGGCCTAAACCACACTTTCTTTGTATAAGAATGTAATAGAAGACCGGTGTTAGAAATTCAGTTACGTTAAGGAAGACTTGACATGCCCTTCTCTTTAACATGCTTTCTCTACTGATTGCAGGACTCTGCTTTCCTTTCTACCTCAGTAGCTACCCCTTCCTGGTCTTCTTTGCTGATTCCTCCTTTTTTCCCCAAACTCTTTAAATTGGTGGGCTCCAAGGTTCAGTTCTTGGTCACCTTCTCTATCTATATACCCAGGTATATATTTCCATGGCTTTAAAGCACATCTATGTGTCAGCGATTCCCAAATTTCATCTATGGCCCAGAACTCTCTCTACTTGCAAAACTTGTATGCCCAACCACCTACTTGACCTCTCAATTAGAATGACTAATAAACATCTCTAACTTAATGTGTCCAAAACCAAACCTCTGATTTTCCCCACAGTCCTTCACCTGCTGCCATCTCCCACTCAATTGATGACAACTCAGCCCTCAATATTATTGGTCCGGCTTACTGTGACTTCTCTCCTTTTACCACTCTCCCCTCCATCCAATTCAGCAGTAAATCCTGTTGGCCCTTCCTTCAACATATGTCCAGAATCCAACCTCTTCTCATCCCCCACATGCCCCTTCTTGGCCTGAGCCACCATCTTACTTTGCCTGGACTATTGCAGTGCCCTCTCAACAGCTCTCCTAGCATTCACTTTACACCAGTTCATTCTCACACCCAGCCAAAACGATCCTGTTAAAAACACATCTGCTCCAATCACTCCTCTGCTCAGCTCCCACAGTGGCTTCCCACTTTTCTCAAAGTGAAAGCCAGAGTCAATGGCCTGCCACTCTATCCCTCATGCCCCATCCTACCTCCTTGACTCTGTCCTCACTGGCTGTTCAGCCCTGTTTTATTCCTACTAACCCAGGCATATCTGCTGTCTTTTAATCTCACCAGGACTATCCCAGCCTTTGCTCCAGTTGATTCCCTCTGCCAGAAATGCTCTTTCTGGGTTACCTACACAGCTCACTCCCCCAATTCCCACAGATCTTTGCTCGAATCACATCCTCTCAATAAGGTCTCTCCTAATATTCCTTTTTTTTTGATACTGGATCTTGCTTGTCACCCAGACTGCAGTGTGGGGTCCTAATCATGGCTCACTGCAGCCTCCATTTCCTAGGCTCAAATGATCCTCCTGTCTCAGCTTTCTGAGTAGCTGGTACTACAGGCACGTGCCTAATTTTTTTTTTTTTTTTTTTTGAGACAGTTTCACTCTTGTTACCCAGGCTGGAGTGCAGTGGCGCAATCTCGGCTCACCGCAACCTCCGCCTCCTAGGTTCAGGCAGTTCTCCTGCCTCAGCCTCCTGAGTAGCTGGGATTACAGGCACGCACCACCATGCCCAGCTAATTTTTTGTAGTTTTAGTTGTTTTTAGTAGAGAAGGGGTTTCACCATGTTGACCAGGATGGTCTTGATCTCTTGACCTCGTGATCCACCCGCCTCAGCCTCCCAAAGTGCTGGGATTACAGGCTTGAGCCACCGCGCCCGGCCTAATATTTTTTTTTTTTTTGAGATGGAGTCGATCTGTAGCCCAGGCTGGAGAGCAATGGCCTGATCTTGGCTCAGTGCAACCTCCACCTCCTGAGTTCAAGCAATTCTTGTGCCTCAGCCTCCGAGGAGCTGGTATTATAGGCATCTGCCACTGTGCCTGGCTAACGTTTGTATTTTTAGTAGAGATGGGATTTCACCATCTTGGCCAGGCTGGTCTTGAACTCCTGTCCTTGTGATCGACCCGCCTGGGCTTCCCAAGTGCTGGGATTCCAGGCGTTAGCCACCACGCCCAGTGCCTCCCAGCATTTTAAATTTTCTTTCACCAGCTATGCTGCTTCCTTTTTTCTCACACACTATATACATTTTAAAATTTATTGTGTTTATTATGTATCATTCTTTCTTTCCACTTTCTCCAACTAGCATGCAACCTATTCCAGGGCATTGATCTCTGTCTGGTCTATTCACTGATGTATCACCAGGGCCTAATCAGTGAGCAATCACTCACTAGATATTTGTTACATCAATAAACAATTTTTAAAAAAATAACCTAACTGGATAAGTTAGTCCACAACCAAATGTAAGTTCAATTAAATCAACTGAGAGCTACCTATTTTTTTCATTGCAAATTTGAGCTATCCATCATAAAGGAAAAATAAAGCAGTCACTTTTAGTGGTAAGTTGCTAAGCATTATTTTATTTCTGTTAAATAAACACCCTAAGCATGTATGCATGGTTTGATATTCCTTTTCCAGCGCTGTACCATATATCTGGAATATTTTTAAAAATTGAACACCATATTTGTTCATATAATCAGACATTATAAATAAGTGCTCTATGTTGTGGTTTACAATAAATATTGCTCTAAAATATCAATAATAATCTCACCTCTTTCAGGTCTTCGTATAATATGAACTTAACATTGTCATCATCAAGATGTTTGTTCCAATTAATTGCAAAATCAAAATAGCTTCCCCAAGAAACTGAAAACACAGGGGGGAATACTTTAAGAAATTTTGAATAACTGAGGTTAAAATGATGATTTATGCTATAAAATATAAACTATACATATGTGTATATGCTTGTGATATATTTATGTTATTATAAATCCTGGCCACCAAAAAGCTGACATAAATCAGTCCCATTGTCTAAATTTCTATTCATTTTTGTACCTTTTGGAACATTGTTCATAAATAATACAAAATTCAGCACATTATAAAAGTGATTTATAAAAACTATGAGACATTCATGAATACTCAGGTGGATAAAAACATTCAGAAATAGTGAATGACACATGAAAGCTGACAGATATAATTCTAGAAAGAAATTAGCAAGATATTTTCTGGACTATCATTGTTCAATAAAAATACATAATTTTTAATATATATAATTTTAAAAAGCAAAAGAGACAAATGAAATTAATTTTAATGTTTTACTCCACTTAACCCAATTTATCAAAGATATTATTCCATCACGTAATCAACTAAAATCTATGAGTGAAACATTACATTTTTTAAATAGTCTAAATCTTCAAAAGCCACTGAGTATTAGACATATACTGAGAATCTCAATTTGGATGCTGAATTTTGCTGGAGAGGATGTGGAGAAATAGGAACACTTTTACACTGTTGGTGGGAGTATAAATTAGTTCGACCATTGTGGAAGACAGTGTGGCGATTCCTCAAGGACCTAGAAATAGAAATTCCATTTGACCTAGCAATCCCATTACTGGCTATATATCCAAAGGATTATAAATCGTTCTACTATAAGGACACGTGCACACGAATGTTCATTGCAGCATTGTTTACAATAGCAAAGACCTGGAACCAACCCAAATGCCCATCGATGATAGACTGGACAGGGAAAATGTGGNTTTCTTTCTTTTTTGAGACAGAGTCTCACTTTGTCTCTCAGGCTGGAGTGCAGTGGTGCGATCTTGGCTCACTGCCACCTCTGCCCCCCGGGTTCCAGCGATTCTCCTGCCTCAGCCTCCCAAGTAGGTGGGCTTACAGGTATCTGCCACCACGCAGGGCTAGTTTTTGTATCTTTAATAGAGACAGGGTTTTGACATGTTGGCCAGGCTGGTCTTGAATTCCTAACCTCAGCTGATCCACCCACCTCAGCCTCCCAAAGTGCTGGGATTACAGGCGTGAGCCACCATACCCAGCCAATTTTCTTTAATTTATATTTTCTTACTTTGTGGAGATGAGGAATGAAGAATAATAAATAAACAAATAATTAAAATATTCTTGAATTTCTTAGTTGTACCCTGCTTACCATTTCCCAATCGTTTTTGTATTTTTTTTAATCACCTTCTCCCACAATTATATCAAATCCATTTTGTTCAAGACAGCTCATAATTTGAAATCTATACTTTCATTTAATTTGGATCTCTTCTATATTCAAGGTCTTTAACAGAAATAGCCAAGTCTTTCCACAGTTTCTGCAAATCCATTTTTAGCATCTAAATCTTTCTGTTTAACCAACTAAAACTCTAGGCAATAAAATATCTCAGTGGAACCTGAAAGCACAGAGTCCTTAAATGTCTGAGAAATGTTTAATGAGAGAAATTCTTGTCAGTGTATGGACTAAAGTGATTGATTCTTTTTCTGTAATCTATTTCTATAGATAATTTTGAAGATAAAATTATCAATTTGATCTGCTAGGATTAAGGGTTTTCACTTATAATCAGATCATTAGTATATGTTATGCAGGGAAGTAAGGCTTCAAGATTTTTTTGGAGACAGGGTTTTGCTCTTCTTGCCCAGGCTGGAGTGCAATGGCGCAATCTTGGCTCACAGCAACCTCTGCCTCCTGGGTTCAAGTTATTCTCCTGCCTCAGCTTCCCAAGTAGCTGGGATTATAGGCGCATGCTAACATGCCTGGCTAATTTAGTAGAGACAGGGTTTCACCATACTGGTCAGGCTGGTCTTGAACTCCTGACCTCAGGTGATCCACTCACTTTGGCCTCCCAAAGTGCTGGGATTACAGGTGTGAGTCACCACGCCTGGCTTCAATAGCCATTACTATTGTTATTACTGTTATCAATAATATCATAATTTTTATCATGATCATCATTATCATGAAGCCCTTGCTTTGAGCCAGGCAGTTTTATGTGTTTTATTTGCTGCTGCAAGTACTGTAAGTTACCTACCCATTATCTAATACATTCTTTTTGTTGCTAATCAAACCCTGATTATTTGGGTCTAAGCTGATCATGAGAATTCTGTTTCTCCATTTCCTGCCTTCCTTAGAGCGGTAACTGGCCACATGAAATTGTTCTGCCCAGTAAGACACAAGTAAGAGTCTACTGGAAGGTTTCTGGCAAAACTATTGCTGTGTGGAACTAAGGAACTGTGGGAAGTAGAAAAGTTCCTGTTCAAAGTTTCCTTTCTTGTTAAAGAATAAATCCTTCTTGCTTTTTGCTAATAACTCTTTGGTAAGCTCTTTCCTATGTAGCTGTTAGATATGCTTATAGGCACGTAGTATATTCTATGTTCTTGTACTTTAACGTAGATATCTGTGCTGGATGTGCTCACAGGTATGTCTCAGTTCGCAGTCTATACCCCTTCCTTATTTAAACTTCTCTATTGCTATTACCCGCTTAGAAAAGTTTTAAGTTATTAGCCAATCAGGTTTTAGTTTAGATTGTGAGGTCTGGCTCTAACCAACGGAGATCAGACATAGCAGTGAGGACAACCCCAAGTGCGTAAGGGATAAATATGTCTGCCTTTCCTTTGTTCATTGTACTCTTGTGGCAAAATAGCTAGTGAGGGTACCCTTCCTGCAGGAAGTAAAAATTGTTTTGCTGAGAGATCCTTTGTTTTCGTTTTTGTTTTGTTTTTTTCTCTTTTTGGTAGAAACACTGAAAACCAGATCCTTTGTCTCAGTGCTGATTTTTCTTTGTAGCACCGAGCATCTGCTTCCAATAGGAACACATTTGGCTGCTGCTATCCTTCCTCCTTTTTCATGACCTAAAGGTGATGACTGGAAGGATAGTAGGCAATTTCAGGGTATGTTGTGAAAAGTACGACAGAGAGGCCAAGGGAATATCAGAGGTACAGGCCAGAGATCCCAGGAACCAGCCACTTACCTTCAGACTTCCTCTTAAATGAAAAAACAAACTTCTCCAAGGATGGATAGGGAAACAAAGAGTCCCTAAAATAGATTGTCCCACTGATGACAAGTTTCTCATCATCATTTGCAATAACACGGAGAGAGGACATTATGTTAACCAAAATAAGCCAGACTCAAAATGGAGCCTGGGCAATATAGTGAGGCTCCATCTCTACAAAAAGAAAAAAAAAAAATCAGCTGGGCATGGTGGTACATGACTGTGGTCCCAGCTGCTTAGGAAACTGAGGATCATTTGAGCCCAGAAGGTCAAGGCTGCAGTGAGCCACACTGCTGCACTCCAGCCTGGGTGACAGAGTGAAACCTTGTCTCAAAAAAAAAAATAAAAAAATAAATAAATAAATAAATAAATAAAGAGAAGAATACTGCATGATCTCACTTATATGTTGAATCTTTTAAAAGTCAAATACGTAATAGAGAGTAGGATGGCGGTTACAGGGGTGCGGGAGGGGAGGAAATGGGAAGATGTAAGTCAAAACGTACAAACTTGCTGTTATGTAGTTATGAATTCATCAGTTATGAGTGTCTTGAGATGTAATGTACAGCATGAAGATGACAGTTAATGATATTGTATTTTATACTACGTAATATTTGTTAAAAGAGTAGATTTTAGGTGCTCTAACTAAACACAAAAAAGGTAATTGTGTGACATTATGAATATGTTAATTTGCTTGATTGTATTAATCATTTCATTATGTATATGTTGAAACATCATGTTGTACACCTTAAATATATACAGCAAAAAATAAATTTTTAAAAAAGTAGTCCTGTGAACTGACAACAGCTTCTCCTTTAGGGTCACTGGGCTTTAATATCCCATCTAATACACTGTAGAGACTCAAGGGAGCACAAATAAATCAGTTACTGGTCTCTGGCCACTATACCCATGGATGTAGAGTCACTGCCACTTACAAGCATTGGCAAGTGATTTAGCTTTTTTTTTTTTTTTTGAGACAGTTTCACTCTTGTCGCCCAGGCTGGAGTGCAATGGTGCCATATCTGCTCACTGGAACCTCTGCCTACTGGATTCAAGCAATTCTCCTGCCTCAGCCTCCTAAATAGCTGGGATTACAGGCATAAGTGACCACGTCCAGCTAATTTTTGTATTTTTAGTAGACACGGGGTTTCACCATGTTGGCCAGGATGGTCTCGATCTCTTGACCTCATGATCCACCTGCCTTGGCCTCCCAAAGTGCTGGGATTACAGGCATGAGCTACCATACCCAGCCCCAAATTAGTTTTTAAAACAGTAATGCATTGAATTGTTGGATACCCAGAGCTAATGGTGCTATCTCAGTTCATTCAAATGTAACTTTTTGGTTCCCAGATCTACCTAAATCTTCTTCCTTTACCCTAAAACACATTTGGGTTTTCACATGTATGTGGTCATCTGTTCAAGTAAGAATTGTTTTACCAATAGCCATACCTTGTCCTTTCATGAACTGTCTGAAGAATTCATCCCAAGAGCCATAGCTTGGAATATCAGGGACATCGTTATGGAAATGGAAAAAAGATACTGCTGTGTCTTTAGGGTTTCGAAATATCACCAATATCTAGGGAATAAAAACTGAGTTAATTTATTTAGGACTATGTTTTGAAATTTGGAAAATTGAAAGGGTGAGCAACATCATTGTGTCCACTCGTGTATCACATAATTGTGTTAATATATATAGAGAGAATGACAGTAGGAAATTGAGGAACAGGAGGTGGCTGATGGGGAAATTTGGGGAAAGGAGAGAGAGAAAGAAGAAAAAGACTGGTATTGTAGCAGAGGATTCTTTCTAATGAATTTAGGTAATAAGATGCATAGAGGACGTAAAAGGGAAAAAAAGAGCAAGCTCACTAGGATAATTACAAGAGTATGATCTGAAAGCTTAAACTCCCAAATAAAAATTACAAACAATGTTAGGGATGACAAAAATAATGTTTAGAGTTGGTAGGAGAAGATTAAAAATGACAAAGCACACTCTCTGGGTATGATGTTTATGGGTGAGTGATGAAGCAGAATGTCTGAATTCCTATATCTGTCTTCTCTGATAAGAAAAGCGTTCCTTTGGGCTGGGTGTGGTGGCTCACACCTGTAATCCCAGCACTTTGGGAGGCTGAAGCAGGTGGATAACCTGAGATTAGGAGTTTGAGGCCAGCCTGACTAACATGGTGAAATCCCATCTCTACTAAAAATACAAAAATTAGCTGGGCATGGTGGCGTGTGTCTGTAATATCAGTTAGTCAGGAGGCTGAGGCAGGAGAATTGCTTGAGCCCAGGAGTCGGAGGTTGCAGTGAGCCCAGATGGCACCATTGCACTCCAGCCTGGGAGACAGGAGTGAGACTCTGTCTCAAAAAAAAAAAAAAAAATGTGTTCCTTTGGATGAGTAGCGTGAAATAACCACTGTAAAGAGCAGACTGAAATTGAAGAGAATGTAAAGAGATTTCAAATAATTATCACTAGGAAAGGACACTCACCTTGGCTTTATTCTTGAAGATAGATCCAGGTAATTTGTCATAGTGGAGGTGAGTTGCCAAAATCCTTGGTGATGGAAAGTCTTCCATTCTCTTAAAAATATATACAAAAAGGTGAAAGTGTGTGTGTGTGTGTGTGTGTGTGTGTGTGTGT